GGGAAGCATTGCACAATCTTGTAGCTCACGTCTCCGGTTCCAAAAATCTCTCGATCGTAACTTATGTTCTTAACGTCCAGAGTCTCGCTCAGAAAGTGTTCTTGACGCAGTATGAACTGGGGAAGAAAATAAGATTTTAAAAATTCAGTTGAATACGCACTATTATGGCTGTTTTAATTAAATGGGAATGTTTATGCAAAAGGTATTCGTATTTGCTGGTCCGCCCAGATTCGACCCTATCATTTTATGAGTAATCAAGAAGGTTAAGGATAAAAAAATAACCAAAGAACTTGGACATCCCCAATTTCAAGAGACAAGCGCACAGGGAATTGTCAATAAACTGACCTCACTTGGATGGGGTTTACTGGATAGACAAGAGTTTGATATCAAGGCTTTTCGATGGCGTTTCTTCAAGGCCGCGAAGTTGCTGGGCTCTGGCTCTATCAACAAGCCCGTCCAGGCTCGGAAGCGTTCCAAGAATATCGTATTCGAGAGAAACTCGCCGTCGTATGCACCGCACTCGACGAACACCCCGTGTGTCTGCAACGGCGTGTTAGAACAATGGTATATTTTATTATCGTATTCACCCAGTGTGCCTGCAAAGGTGTTGTAGAACAAGGGTATGTCCTATTATCGTCGTCACCCCGTGTGTCTGCAACGGTGTTGTAGAACAACGGTATGTCTTATTATCGTCGTCACTCCGTGCGTGCAACGGTGTTGTAGAACAACGGTATGTCTTATTATCGTCGTCACCCCGTGTGTCTACAACGGTGTGGTAGAACAAGCTTGGTATGTCTTTTTATCTTCGTCACTCCGTGTGCCTGCAACGGTGTGGTTGAACAAGGGTATGTCTTATTATCGTCGTCACCCCGTGTGTCTACAACGGTGTGGTAGAACAAGGGTATGTCTTATTATCGTCGTTACCCCGTGTGTCTGCAACGGTGAGGTAGAATAAGGGTATGTCTTATTATCGTCGTCACCTCGTTTACCTGGAATTTGAGTAGGAATTTTATTATCGTGAAATGACTGGAAATTGTGCCGAATCGTCTGCTTATGCATCAAATTCAAGGTTAAAAAACTAAATTATGAATAATGTACCACATAATTTACCTCCTTATTGGTATTTCTTTCTAGAGGTGGAAAATTTTCTGCACTTCATATGTGTGGTGTAAAGGACGAAGGATTGCGTGTATGTGTTACACCACTTGAGATGTCGAAATGTTGTGGTTTGCGGACACAGAGTGGACGCTCTACTAGAGTTACTGTGATGTTACATGAAAAGACCAAATGTCGATTGAAAATGTGATTGAGTGAAAAATAAGCCGCTGTCTGCAGTGAAGATGAGAAATTTTGCGGTAACTGAGGAACTCGAGAGATTTTAAAAAGTAATGAAAATGTTTGCCTCGACGTGTTGACATGAAATTATGGTATTTATGCTCGAGCATTCGTAGTAAATCTTCGCAGTAAATCGTTCGGTAATTACAGGTTTTATTTTTACAAGTTCTACACAATAATGGACGCAAAATGAATAAGAAGTTTTTATCAGTACAAATGGAGACAGTGTGGACGGTATGCGTGGAGAATGGAGGAGAATGCGCAGCCAGACGACGGATGGCCAACTTTGGACTGAGGCAGAAACTCGAGCGAGCGGATTTTACAAGCAGCTGCCGCCCGGGCTTGATGCTGAGTTCCGCGACGCCTACCCCAGACTCTTAAAATGTGCCTAATACTTTCCCCAAATTCATTTTTAACCGTGCATTGTTTATTTACTTACTTTCTGTTTGAACAACTTGTCGACAACTTTAGACTGGCCGTCCGAGGGATCCATCAGGCCTCTGAGCGCGTACGGCTCAGTGGAGGCCGGTATCAGGTAGTGTTTGCGGATGAGGTCAATCAGGCGGGGATCGTCCGACCGAGTCTCCTCCGCGTTTATATCTGAGAAATTCATTTTTCCGATTATAATATATTAATGGCATGGTAAAACTGAGCTGCATTGCGGTAGTTTCTTGTCGATTAAATGAGACGCTTTGTTCGAATATAATGTTTGAATGGTCTTATAAGCGCATTTTCTCATTTATGAAAAAATGCACTATTGTGCTCGCCATGTCAGTCTGTCTGTCTGTCCGTTCGTCTGTCCGTCTGTCCGTCCGTCCGTGACCTCAAGTTTTCGTCGACGAGAAATTGCGCTCTCTGTCACTCACTGCAGTGAGTACTGAGTTATATTTTTAGACTTCTTGGTACGCTATGATAGGTTCGTAATATTCATTTGAAACATAATATGCAGGGTCATTCCATGATTCCAATGCAGATAGTTCTTGAATACGTAATAGTTACCGGTGAGGTAAATTAGATACACTTTCTAGGTTTATCGAACTGCCGATGGAGCTGAACTCTGAAACGTTTTCCTTTATAAAAATACACCTTGGCTGTTGAGACGATAACCATCTCGTATACTAATGCATGAGTTTATATTATCTCCCTCGTGACAAAGCCCAAGCTAGGGATAATTTCTCACCTCCATAGCCGATGACTCTAAGGCTGTTGGGAACAGATTCACTTGATCCTGAAAATGTGCGAGCGCCTCTACCAGTAATTGAATATTTAAGAAAAAATAGGCCCAATATAACCGTTATGTACGTCATCGTTGCGAAAAATATCATTGCTGATTTTTTCGTTATTTTCGTAATTTTTCGAATTTGGTGATTTCGAAACATTTGCATGTCGATCATCAAACTTGATGCTCAAAATATCGCTACGATAACTTCAATTAGTTAAAATATATATCCAAAATTCCGTGGACTCGTGCCTTTTTGTTTGTAGGAATATCGATAAATTGTTTCAACAGTGCGTCTATGTTTAATTTTATATTTTTCTAGTTATCAGTACCCATTCATCAAAATTAAATCTGTTTGGTGTAAAATTATTATAAATTGAAATTTATTTTGCACTTGAACTTCTATAGCTAAATTTTTCGCACTTGGATTTTAATCCTCGGATTTAAAACCTCCTTTTTTTATTACTCGAAAATAATTTTATAGGACCTTAGTCAAGAATTGAAATGTTTATCAACCACAAAACACAAAATCTTAAAATTTTGCATTCGTGGCAGATGCAATGCATTGTTGACGAGCTTGATAAATTGAACCACGCGATAGAAGGTCTCCGTTCATTATATAACAGTGCTATTAATACCTTCATAGGTTGCAAGAATTAAGATTGTTAAGATTGGTTTCTTGATCAGAAAAGAAATGAAATATAGGAGCAACCGGTCAATGTTGTGGTCTGACTGCAACTAAAGCAATAACTCACTGTTAATGTTGTCTAACACGAGCTTGTAGGAAAACATTCCGCTCACTATAAAAACAATCGAGGAAATCGTTGGCCGAAATTCGGAAACTGTAAAGACCGGGATATTCGCTCCATAAATTCTTGGAAGTTCTGTGTTAACGATTTGGCGTTTATCTTCATAGGAAATAAGGAACCTAATTGGTAAAACTTAGAGGCTTTATCTTAGAAAATTTGTAGCTCATTCAAATATCGCCATGCCATCTTGCGAAAAACTGAAGCCTCATTTACCGGTCTTATAAAGCTATACTGTATACATGAGTGACTGAGGAAAATGCTCCTCTCTTATGCTAATATAATTCTTTTACTTACAAGCAAAAGATAAAAAATGTTCAATGTAGCATATGTATAAATTGAGCTCTCAAAATAGGAAGTTTAAGCGGTATGGAGCTTCGAAGAATAATTAATTTAAAGAAGATTTACAACCAAAATAACCGCTGAGCTAGGTACGTATATCCTATGCATTTTGTTCCTCGCGTGCTAATTCTATTTCTTCATTCATTAAATGTTATCATGAATATATGCGTAAAAGAGCACTGCGATGCCATGGGTAAAAGAGCACTGCGATGCCACTGGCCAAGTAAGTATACCTCTGTACACCAGACCAGGAGCAAGATAAGTAGTCGCTGTTAGTAGTATTTAATGGTTGTAGGACTCAGAGGAGCCGTCACTGGTAGCACGTCTCCGGTGCTGCGTGTACCTATACCATTGCGCCTGCGCATAATCGATGCGTTTCCGAAATGTCTGGTATTCTTTTTACCTGTCATAAGATTTTCCGCATTCACCATTCACCTGTACAAAAATTATACTTATGCAATAGTAAGTGCTTACTTCCAAAACCATGACATGATAATAAAAAAAATATCAATTACTAGTAGTTCCGACGAAAAATCTTTACCGGTGCACATTAGGACGTTATAAAGAATTGCTATCGCCTAATAAATACGGATGTGAATCACAAGGATTATTCAAAAATAATTTAGCGCGTACTAGATGCAAAACCGTATAACTTTATACAATTTGAGTGCGCTTTCCCACGGTAAATTAGCAAAAATGAGGGCCGTTAAATGGCATTTGTGCAGTCTTGGACCTTGGCTATGTGTGAAAAGGTGAGAGGAGCAAAGACTGTATCCCGCAGTTCTATTCAAAGACGATAACCAGTCTATTTCAAATTTAGTTTATAATTTCCAATAACGGACGATGGTTGATGTTGTAGCAGATCTCGCTACAAAAATACTTTTATGTTTAGAACTAGCGACATGTAAAATGCTGATGTACTAGCAGCATCACCCCATCTTGGGCCTCACTAATCCATGGGCTAAGTTACAGCTTTTGCTTGGCCAGTTACTCTTCCTGTGACTATTGTCCGGACTGCACCACGCTACCTTACGTAAGTTACGTTATCTTTAACACGTTGACTACGTATTGGTACATATGCGTACCACGAAATGTATTTCTCCAGGAGGTAGTGGTACATAATTCAGGTTGCCTAAAATCGGCCAAATCCGAAAACAAAAAAGGCCAAAAAAGGCCGATAATTCAATGTATACTAGTTAATTTGTAGGTTCCGCTATAGAAATTCCATTTATTTTCTTATTGCAGTATTTAAAATTTAATTAGGATGTACCCCCTATCATAAATTTTAGCCGGCCAACGCAATTGAGAAAAACTAAATCGCGGAATTTGTCCGGAAAAAATGACCGTCTGGCAACCCTGCTTAAAAAAGTACAAAAAATGAAATAATAGTACAAGATGAAGCAATCGTAGTCAACGTGTTAAAATCCTCTGTCCAAAATATTCATCAGAGTTTCATTATATTGGAATACATACATAATTAATATATGTTGTTTTACTATTACAGGTATATTGCACAATCTATTCTAGATTTGCGTGACTTAACTGATTTCGAAAAAAGGGCAAATTGTTGGTGCTCGCATGATAGGAGCTTCGATCACCAAAGTCGCTGAGGTTTTCTGTTTTTCGAAAGCTACTATATCAAGGACGAAGACGCAATTCGAAAAACAGGGGAAAACATCTAATAATCGCACTAAATGTGGTCGACCTTCAAGCTATCTGATAGAGATCGAAGAACATTACATCGCATTATGAAAAAAATAGGCGATCTACGGCTACAAAGGTGCGCGCAGAGTTAAATCAGCATCTCAGCAATGAAGTTTCTACCAAAACCGTTCGTCGTGAGCTTCATAAGGGTGGATACCATGGAAGAGCCGCTATCAGGAAACCTCTACTTTCGTCTGGAAACATTCAGAAGCGGATGCTGTGGTGCAAGGACAACATAAACCTGGTCTCCAGACCAGTGGAGGCGAGTAATATTCTCAGACGAGTCCTCCTCCTACGAGTCAGACGAGTCCTCAGACCTCAGACGAGTCAGACGTGTCCCTCAATATTCTCAGACGAGTCCTCCTCCTGTCTGGATGAACTGGAGAAGGTTTTGATGGAAGAGTGGCTGAAAATTCCAATAGAACAAGTCAAGAAGCCTGGAGAAGGTTTTGATGGAAGAGTGGCTGAAAATTCCAATAGAACAAGTCAAGAAGCTGTACGATTCGATTCCCAGACGTATTGAAGCTGTATTGAAGGCTAAAGGGGGTCCAACTCCGTATCCAACAAAGATCTAAGATTCTTCCAAGAGTTATATGTTCAGTGTGGAGGAGCCTCCCACCAGAGTGCGACCACTGGACAATCGGACTGGGCGCTCTTAGGGAGCGCACGTTGCGAATTTTTTTGACTTGACGTGGCCACGGGCCATTTTTTTAGCAGTTTGTTTGAATGCAAGACGACGAGACTCGACGACAGGCCCTCGTCGGCCTAATCATCTGCGTCGATTCATGCTATGCTATGCTAAATAAAGTTTCTCTAAATTTATCAGGTGTTCCAATTATTTTGTCCAACCCCTGTACATGATTCTAAAAGAAACAAGAATTACTTTTACTTCCGACGAAAAGTCTTGACCGGTGCCCATTAGGCCGGTTGGTTAGAATTCTTATTGCCTAACAACTATGGAGGTGAATCACAAGAATTTTTCCAAAATAATTTGGCGCGTACTAGATGCGAAACCGTATAACTTTATACAATTTGAGTGCGCTTTCCCACGGTAAATTAGCAAAAATGAGGGCCGTTAAATGGCATTTGGGCAGTCTTGGACCTTGGATATGTGTGAAAAGGTGAGAGGAGCAAAGACTGTATCCCGCAGTTCTATTCAAAGACGATAACCAGTCTATTTCAAATTTAGTTTATAATTTCCAATAACGGACGATGGTTGATGTTGTAGCAGATCTCGCTACAAAAATACTTTTATGTTTAGAACTAGCGACATGTAAAATGCTGATGTACTAGCAGCATCACCCCATCTTGGGCCTCACTAATCCATGGGCTAAGTTACAGCTTTTGCTTGGCCAGTTACTCTTCCTGTGACTATTGTCCGGACTGCACCACGCTACCTTACGTAAGTTACGTTACACCTTTTAAATTTTGGCTGTACAGATACAGAGCTACGTGACTTTCTCCTGGCACGTCGGCAGTCTCTCGTCACCTCACGTGACACATTAGCTGCCTCGTCACTTCACGTGCCGCATTAGCTGCCTC